TTTGATTCACAAGATTTTATAGAAATTAATATCGAAGGAATCCATATGCTCTATAGTCATAAGTGAATATGTAGTAGTAGTTAAGGATCACGGATGGAGAAGTGCACAAAACAAAAGTTCTAGATCTCAAAAAGTTATACAACTTTGTAGTTGACAACTTTTTTATTTGAAATTATCTATCGAACAAAAATTACATTTGAAGTTCAAAATTTTCAAAACAACCTCGGACGAAGAAACGACCAAAACAAAAGTTGTAGATCTCAAAAAGTTATACAATTTTGTAGTTGACAACTTTTTCATTTGAAACCATCTATCCATGAAAATATCACGTGAATTTGCTCATATTTGAAATTCAAATTTTTCAAACGACCTCGGATTGAGAAACAACCAAAACAAAAGTTGTAGTTCTAAAAAAATTATGCAACTTTAGAGTTGACGACTTTTTCATTTGAAATCATCTATTCAAGAAAAAGTCACGTGAATTTCCTCACATTTGAAATTCGAATTTTTCGAACGACCTCGGGTGGAGAAATGACAAAAACAAAATTTGTAGATCTCGAAATGTTATTAAACTTTATAGTTGACAACTTTTTCTTTTCAATTTATTATGGTCCCAAATACTCATTTTAAAACAAGATGAACATATATTCAAGCACCTGAAATATATCAACTACATTATTGTTTACTTTTAAATTGAATGCCAAGTATCAAGAAACTATTTTTCATTAATATTTGTCTTATTTATAAAAATTAATATAATTGGCCACAATAAATTGATGTCATTAGTTATCAAAAATAAATTTCGTTTATGTGTTAATGTTAATATTAAAATTAATAATACTCATTACTTTAAAATAGACGAAACTGGCTCTGGTTTTTTTCTAGAAAGATAATTCCTCGTATCTCTAAACTTCTAATATTTAACTAGAATATTTTTTACCAGTGGAATTGTTTCCCACAAAAAAATTATCTATACACTCCTTATATTTCATTCAATCTAATAATTTGGCCACCGAATTATTCCCACCAGTTTTTTACGTGTGGAATTGTTTCCCACCATTTTTTTAGCTCTGGTTTTCCTTTTCCACCAAAGTTTCCACCGCAAGATCCTAATTCCTCGCAAAGCAACCTACCCAGAACCCACTTCCTGAGTTAGCACGCAAAGGAAGGCCGTCGGAGCTCGGCGAGTGGGTGAGCCGAAATCCCTGCCACAACGATTGAGTCCGTTTGAAATTTTCCAGTTCGTCAAATCGTCACGGTGGATGCCCCACTTGCAGGGTACGTACAATCTGATCTTCCTCTCTGATCCCATTTGTATTGAATGACATTCTTCTAGCTCTAGAACCCTAGAACTAATCCAAATCTCTAGGCCCCGGTGCTGCAGCTTGTAGGCGGCTAGGCACTCGCTCACTTCCGTGCGCAGTCATCGCAAATTGGTTGGAGGGCATCGGCGGGTCGAGCTATGCGGCTGCTTTCTTGGGCACGGGCGCCGGGGTGCAGGGGCCATGACCGCCATGAGGATGACGAGCGAGCTTCGACGATGCCGCCGCTGACCTTGGCCGGACATGTGGATGGGCAGGCCGTGCTTGTTGTACGCGCCTCCTCCACGCGGTTGCGAAGTGGCCATGGCCCGTGGACGACCTCTATTGTCACACGCCCCTCTCACCTTCCGCTTCATTCTAGGCGGAGGCGATGAGCTCCGCTCAGCTCTGCAGCTGCAGCATATAGATCAAATGGATAATACCTATATTATCGTACCCATACCCACAAACAAATGGATAATCCATACCCTCCCCAATGGAGGTCGGCTAGTACTGATTAACTCAATTCTAAGTAGCCTTGCTGATACATGATGTCTTTCTTTGAAGTACCAAAAGGTATTCTAAAGAAGCTAGACTTTATGGGTCCTACTTTTTCTGGCAAGGAGACAACCATAAGAAAAAAATAGAGACTTGTGAAATTGGGGGATCCTCTACCTAACAAAGGAGGAAGGTGGCTTAGGAATTACAAATCTTGGGGTGTAAAATGAATGTCTACTTAGTAAATGGATCTACAAACATGTTAATCAAGATGGAGTTTAGCAAGAACTTCTTAGGAAGCAGTAATTGAAAAAAAAATTTGGGTGGAAGCCAAGTGATTCCTATTTTTTGGTCAAGCCTTATGAAGGTCCATGACCAATTCTTAGAGTTTTCCACATTTAGGCCTTGTTCGGTTAATACCCAAACTGAGGAGATTGGAGGGTATAAAGGGAAACTCCCCTCAATACCCTCCAATCTCATCGGTTAGGGATTAACCGAACAAGGCCTTAACGTTCATAATGGTGCTAAAGTGAGATGATAAGAGGACAATTGGTTGGGTAACTTCATCCTCAAAGAACAATATCCAAATTTATATAACATTACAAGTAAGAAATATATTATAGTTGCTTGAGCTTTTAGCACTGCACCACTTAATATTTCTTTCTACAGAATGCTAGGGGTGATAAATTAATTAAATGGAATGGTTTCGTCACAAGACTAGCAACTATGCAACTTGATGATTAACCTAATTCTATTAAGGGCCCTTTTGACTAGGCTTTTCTGCATGGGCTCTGTTGCTGGAGCCGTAGCACCCTGGCAAAAGCCCAAAAAACAGCTCTGCCTCCGTACAGTCAAAATGGCTGTAGCTCGTCTATTCCGCATCAAAAGTGCTTCTCAATCCATAGTCATTTGGTGTGGCTCCTCCGGCTCCGGTGCCGGATATACCGGCAGAGCTGGAGCTAGAGCACACCAAATTGGCCCTAAATGGACCTCTTTATCCAGGGGGCATGTGTTTATTATGCAACCAATGTAAAAAAAGTAGTAAATCAAATGGCTATGCCTTTAAATAAATCATAAAGGAAGATCAAGTCACCTCTAAAGGTCAAGATATTCATTTGAATCTTACTAAAAGGAGTGATTTTAACAAAGGACAATATCCTAAAATGAATTTGGAGTGGTGATGAAAAGTTTTGTTTTGTGACAATAAAGAAATCATCCAACATTTATTTCTTGCGGGTCATATAGCACGCTTTGTTTGGAGGATTGTCCCAAAAAGTGTACGAAGAGAACAAACATCTCACATGCCCCCAGCCCAATAAACAAGCTTTTGTGCCCATCGGGCAGGGTATTGGTGCGTGAATGGGTCTAACAAAACTTATCCTATGTCTTTCCATTATAACCAAGGCCTAGGGGTATGCCCCCTATGCTATAGGGTGAGCTGTTGAACAGTGGCAAACAGTTGGAGGCGGATGGTACCAGTGACCACGTGCAAGCAAAAAATGGTGTTTGGGTGGCGAGCACCAAACGATAAACACGCCCTTGTTGTGGGAGTCTGAAGGCTTGTGGCGCTCACTGGCACACAAAAGCGTGAAAAAAGATGTAAGAATCCTTACACATGCATAGCGAGGGGCTCGTAAGTGTTGTTGCACAGGTGTATACCGTGGATGTTTGTGTGTATGTGTATTTAGAGGTTCTCTGACAACAACAGGGGCTTGTAAGTGTTGTTGCACAGGTGTATATACCATGCATGTTTGTGTGTACATGTATTTAGAGGTTCTCTGACAACAATGTTAGCATGTATGTCAAGGAGAGAGAAGTAAGGTGGCCACTCGGAAGGATTGCTCTAACACCGTACCGAGCACAAGGTCAGAATTTTGCCATAGTGATCAACAAGATTCATCCAATTTTCAAAGGGACTCTCTATTCTTAACAATATGGGTATGGACACTGGTTATCCAGGTGCCTGGCAGAATTAGTTTGCTATAAATAAACCATACCAAATCTCTAATATTTATGTCCAGCAGACCAAACGTCACTGGCATTTGTTATCAGAGATGTTTTCTGCGTTGCTAATTTTCTTTGGTTGTTGGTTTATGCCAAATTGAAAGTCTTTACAATAGTATATAGAATATCTCAGGAGTAATATTTATTTATTTATTTATTTAAGAATGATCATTTTACTTTATAACTTTGATAGGCATATATTATTGTGATAGACTATAACCTTTAATTCATTTGTCATTTGTACCTTATAGTCTTCAAAAATTATTTTCTCCTTACAGCAAAACAATCATACGGGAAAATGATTTAAGCGGGATTTAGGGAGTAACTGGCTATATATACTCTTTACTTTATTATGTAATCAATAGATACCTGAAGGTAGCTTATAGCAGTCATTACTGTTTCAATCTTCACTGGACTTTTTTGTTTATGTGGAAGATATAGCGATTCACTGAAGGTTTTTTGTTTTCTTGCTATTAGTGTACTCGTCATCACGTGGGAGAAACTCAATTGACATGTCGTACAAGCAAATATTTGATTAGCAATTTGTTTTACAGATTAGAGATGGCTTAGTGCAATTCGTGTTCTTGCATTGAAACAGAGCACTAATACAAAACAATGATAGCAGGAGGAGTTCAGCCACTGCACTTCGACAATTAGGTAAGCAAGTAGCACTGCGTCGACAACTTATGCAGTTGCAGCTTTCATTCGCTCGCACAGGCAAAGGCAAAGTAGCTAGCATTTGGCCATTCAGGTTACAGAACAATCCGAGCAGCAGTTTAGTATGCTTTTGTTAAATGTCCTATCATGATACATTTATCCATATTTTAATAATATCTGCTTTCATGATTTTAGTAATTATTTAATCAATATCTTTAACTGCATGGGTTATTAATGCACTGTGGGATTAACACTACCCTTTTAGTTTTACAACGAAGGACCCCTTCTTTCTTTATTCCTCTGGAGTATGGATTAGTATGTGAAGATTATTTATAAAAAGTATATATGTCATGCTCTAGACGATCCTATCTGATCCATAGCACTTTACTTGTTCTCAGGCTCTAAGTTCGAATAACATTACAAATATGCACTTTAGTTTAATTGTTATTATTCTGTTATACTTGATTCTTATTTGTGAATTATCTTACACTTTATTCTTATTTTTCTATTGGTGCAAAATTTTATTTAGATTGTGCTACCATGGCGGTGGATATTTGGACCATAAATCAAGCGATGCATTCTAAAAGAAAGGTATTTGCTCTATTTTCTATATTTTCACCTAATCTAATCTTTTGGCTTTAATATTGTTTTAAATTTTTAGAGAGTTCAATGTGTTGCACCTAACCAGAATGATGGATTCCTTAAGCACAGGGATGAATTGGTGAAGTCACTTTCTTGTGAATTTAATACTTATTTTATCCAAAAAGGAATTTTTTTATATTAACTCATGCTACTGTATTTTTTCTCTTTACCAGAATAAAGAAACATGTGAGTCTGAATTTAGTGATGCTGGCAGTCTACTTTTATCCACCACAAGTAGAACAAGAAAGAAACAAAAGGTATCTATGAACCACACTTTGCTATAATTATAGTAGAATTTTGTCTTATTATTTCATACTTCATTTTATATGTGTAAGGGTTATCACGGAGGGACTGGAGAGACTACAACCATTACACACTATGAGGTGGCTCATGACAAGGCTACATGCTACAAGCGTCAACCACCTAAACAACTTCCTCTAATGAAGGTAGATGAACATAATATCACTTGTTCTAATTACATGATTATAATGTACAACTAAGGGTTGTTGGTCACTAAGAGACTATGTCAAATTAATATAGGTTGGGTCCATGGTACTACTAATGACTTTAAAATATCCTAATAAGGCTAACGTGGCCTATGCAGCTCTCTTGAGCACTGATCGAGAAGCCATTGTTGGTGGAGTTAAGACAGGAAGTCAATTCTACATAGTGCGTATCAATCATCCTATAGCAAAAGATGAGCCATTAGTGAGGCCCATGCCTAGGTGCAGCAATATTGGTGATGCTCAAGCCAAAGGAGTCTCAATTACTTGGCCTTCTATGTTTGTATGTTCAAACTAGCTTTCTTAACTTTACATCAATGTGCATATGTGGTCTAATTTGTAATGTTACAACTTATATTTTCTTTGCAGGTTGAAATGATTAATGGTTGAATTCCTACATCAATGTGTACAAGAAGAAGCAATGGACTTTTTGAATCCTAGCTAGTTCTTGATTTTTCTTTCTAGTATGGACTGTGTGTTTGCTCTCTAGAGCCATATCATTATGTACATATACTATGATTTGATCTGAACAAGCACTATGTTTGAAATCATCCTACAATATGTGGATCTTGCTATGATTATAGAAATTTATGGTTTATATGATTTTGCAATGTGTCATGTTTGTGTGATTATATAATAATCCGTGTGCCACATGTATAAGCGAAATAAATATTTATTTCATAATCAAAATGTGTCACAATAGATATAAAAAAGTGTTACAAACCATGTGTTCCTTTGTTCCATATTGTGCTCTACCACAATGTAGAAGTGTTACTAGAACTAAAAAAAGTGTTACAGCAAACAATCCCTGTAACACTAGGCAAATGTTCTGATAGATAAATAAATGTGTTGCAAACTATGTATTGTACCATAATGTGAAGTGTTACTAGAGCAAAAAAAAGTGTTACAGCAAAAATCATTGTAACACTAGACAAATGTTCTGGTAGACAAGTAGATGTGTTACAATAAACCAGTCTATAGTAACATGGCCAATTGGAACACAAAACAAAATGTGTTACTAAGAAAGCTAGCAACACTTTTTCTAACCTATAGTAACAAAAGTTGGTGTTACTATATCCCTGCGTTGTGGTAGTGGCACCATGCGAAAGAGGGATGGCAGGCAAAGGTAGTCACAAGGTTAGGAGTCAACAAGGGTGGTCCAAGGTAAAGACATGACACAAGAGAAACATAAATTAACTAACGAAGATAACATAGCGTGAGACTCTTGCTTTAATTTCACGCACGCCTTACATTTACCAAGGAGATTACTAGATAAAAGATTACATGAGATTTGGTCTTGTTGGGCAGCAACATGAGATCAAGAGCGATAAACATTTCGAGACTTGAGAGAGTTGGAGATTAAACAAGCGAGATTCGAGGGACAGAGCTGATACACTGACTAGGGATTCAGTTGATAAAGCAATTAAATGATTTGCAAGGAAAAGACTCTGAGGTTCAGGCAGCAAGAGAATAGCGTTGCACCAGATCACCTTTAGGATAAGGGCAGAGATGTCTGACAAGGATTTTTTGGGTAGGGTCTTCAAACACAAGAGCAAGACATCCATGACATATGCAAGCATTTAAGGGAACCAAGCTTAGACTCATGAGTCAAGCAAAAGCATGAATACACAAACATTCAAGGGCTAACAATCACACACACATAGGCTCAAGCTCCTAAGCAAAGGAATCTACTTGGAGACAACCATGAGATTAACATAACTTGAGTGTTGTTCCAGGATAAGGCTGTTCATACTCACATGCTTACCGAGGACAAAAAGGGCGACAACTATGGTACCTCCTAGATCACAACACATTCACACATAAATCATGGTAATACCTAGAAAGCAAGCAACCACCCGTCTAAAGAACTAATGTGAAGATAACTTGAAAGGAAGAACCTGACATTATATTTAAAAGAAAAGCATGTGTAGGCTTCTAACAAGGTATCACTACCAGTTTTAGTTTTCAAAATGGTGAAGTTTTTGCTAACTACTAACTTGTCATCTATTTCCTTTGGAAGCAAACATACAAGGCAAAGCTAATCACACACTATCTTCAAGCACAGCTATTCAAGCAATTTGGAACAAGGCGTTTTGCCTAGCTTCACACAGGGAAGATAGTAACATCACATTAATCATAAGTTACTTATTATTAGAACAAGGGTGAGGGGAGCGTATTTATGCACAAGCACAATCATGATGCATGACCATCCTATTTGTCCTCACAAAATTGCTAGCCTAAGGTGGCAGTCACATTCTATTTCGGTGGCATAATACGTACTCTCTCGATATATAGCTAGTCGTCAGCTACATTCAATCTACGCATTTGTGGTTAGCGTACCTATAGAAGAATTTTATTTCAGCCCAACCCCACAATTATATATATACAGAAATGAAAGTCTGGTCTCTAGGTTTCATTCTAAATACTTCCATATATATATATATAGAATATATATATACTTTTGTATCAAAGCTACCCATATGTAATTACGTCCATACATACTTATAGAATATGCATGTACAATCGTACCAAAACTAACCCACAATTAAATACTTCCGTATATATATGGGATATATACTTAAGTATCAAAACTACTTCTCCCCTTTGATCGCACGCTCACATCTTGCGATCATGCCACTCACCAACTTACCTCGACGTAGAGGTGTATTGATCCATACATTACCATTCAAGCGAATGGCATCCATACAATAGCACGCCGTATGGACGACGAAATAAAAATTGCAATTAAGTAAATCCCCCCATATTTAGTATTAGTTTACTTAGCCACGTAGTAGTCCTTAATTGGGCTTAACCAGAGGTGATCGCTAGCATAGTTTTGCAAATTAGTTTTGACAAATTTGCCTGTAGCTAAAGTTTTGGTCAAAATAGGCTTTTTAAAACTAAAACTATGCTTTTAAAACTATGTACATGACAGTATTATGCTTAATCTTGCTCTGATGCCAGTTGTGGCAAAACCACCCAATTTATACAAGATCAAGTACGGCTGTCCCCATTTAACATGTTGACGCGCACATACTTTCACTTATATAAACCCGGTAGTCCACCGAGTGTCACGAAGGACCTTGGTAAATCAACATTACAACCAAGATCACATGATTAAGCAAATACACATCATATACACAGAGTTGCAGTGGAAATAAGACTTACAATGTGTTCACCAATGATAATACAAGTTTGGGTTTTAAAACCAATTAGTGAAAACAACATAGCTTTTAAATTATTACAATAATATAAGTTCCAAATACATTGCTAGCATACGTGACATCCTCTGACAAAATCATATAGATAAGAACACTATAAAGAGTCGCCGAGCCCACTGGCGGTTAGCCACCATCTTTAGCAGGCCGAGAACTTCACCTACAACATAGTGGGATAAACCCTGAGTACTCGAATGTACTCAAGTAGACTTACCCGTCATAAACCAAAAATAAAGTGACTCGAAGGATCATGCAAGGCTTTATAAGTGGAGCTAGCTTAATAACATTTTGCATAAAAAACCACTAATTCAGCTATACATTTTATAATTCGGTCATCAAGTTAATTATAGCTATTCATCTCTAGATTAGCAACTAACCTATGCCAAACATGTGGTATATCATTTAGTAGCATAATAATAGTTACCATAGTCGGTGTAAGATTTTCATATTCATTAGAACCATCATATTCCATAATCCAATTACTACGATGCTGGAGCTAGTCGAGTTTCTCGCTATCTGGGAGAGACGGCGATTCGAATCGGTTGCAACCAGTTGGTCAGTTATTCCTAACACAAACCTAGACACACCTACGCCAACGTAGTCTTAGGTCATCTTTGGTACAACTCAGGTCCAATTCGCGGGTTCGATCAATGCCACACAATCTGGGACACTACCGGATGCCAGGTCGATCAGGACTCTAACCTGCCCTTAGCTTCACACTGGCTCCTCACACATCCTTACTACATCCATTATGCGCACTCTAACAGAACGAGGCCCAGCGTGAATTGAGCTACTCGGCTTCGTGGTCGGAATGAGTTATTCGGCCAGCTAAGTGAGAGGCATGCGTTCAATCTCTATAAAAGTGCCAGCAATGGTACGTCCTTAATCGACACAGATGGGATCAACATAGCCAACCCAACACCATTGCATATGAAATCCTGCCCAATCACCACTTAGATTACATCCCATGGTTATTTTTCCACGATAGCAAATATAGCCAATCATGCTCTAGTATCCACCTATATCTCGCAGGTGACAGGAAATCACCCGACTTCTATCGGTCTAAGCATGGCTAAGCATATATTCGATCCTGGACCTATACAAGGTTCAAGGTATATGTCTGGACAAGGAAATTATATGCATCAAGAGTTTCCAATCAACTCCTATAACCTAATGCATCAAACATAAAAGGACTCAAATTGATATTTATAAAACATAGGAGGATTAAAATGCTCTAGGGCTTGCTTGGGATCCAACATAAAGTTAGTGCAGTTAACTTGCACCGTCTTGGGGAACATCTTCCACTCTAGGCATGCACTCCAGGGGTCCTTCCATCTTTAGAATAGGTCCACCAACACCGTCTTCTGGTTTGACTCCATCATCACGTGCTTCACGTCTACGTGTTGTGCATCTAGCGTACCTAGATGAGATGCAACAATGCAAGTGCATGAATGCGAAGAATGGTAACATGAGATGCATCATATAAAAGAATTCAAGATAAGTATAAAGTTACACCTCAAGACATATGCACTTAGAGAGGAAGTCATTTAACTAACTATCACTCAAGTATAGCATAGGGATAGCAAGCATAACAAGCATGGCACACCAGTTAACTCAAGTCAAACTATTACAAGCATTTATCCATCAAGAACTAATTAAGCCTAGCATCACATAAGAACTAGGGCTGCGGTGAACGACACCAACATAATTAAAGCTCTAGCAAAACATGCATCAAAATCATTTATTAGTTACGTGCTTGACCAACATTATATAACACATTTATAAGATACCTTAGGTAGATCAATTTAACTCTAGTAGTGTCATGAACTAACACTAACAAGCATTCAAAGCAATGCAAAGTGAAGCAAACAATTTTAGGTACATGCTCAGATTTTGGGCAGCAGCATAGTAGTCATTTGTTTCAACCATAACTGGAGCTATAGGCATCAAACATAGGTGATCCTAGACTTTTTGGAAAGCTAAAGAAATTGTGTACAACTTTGTTATTTACACATAGAGCTGATACAAAGGTTAACAAGGGTGAAAAACACTAACAAGCCGATCTGCTCAAACTAGGATAGAAAACTGACAAGAACTTCAGAAATGCATAACTGCAGTTTTAATCATCCAAAAAACATGATTCTTAACTTTATGGAAAGATCATTGAGTTAT